TTTGAACAGGGAAAACTTTTACAAGTGAATTTGCTTGTAAACTTAGAAACAACTCTTCAAGCTTTTCAAGAAAAATAAACGATATCTATCTCGAATATGCAAAACAGTACAACATTGACGAAGGAGAGTACCATCTCGATATTATATATGACAGGAAAAATGCAACTGTTAAAATCAATAGAATAGAAGACCTTGGAGAAGACGTTTTATTTCTACAAAATATAACAACTTGGCATGGTATAGGTTTCTGAGGATGTTAAATCAGCCTGCAGAATATCCAGTACACCCGAACTTTTATGAAGTCGAAAACCCTAATGGAACATATGAAAATGTTTTTGACTCAGATGCTATTATCGTTCATGCTTCATTTTCTGGTGCACAAAACTCTTTTTTATGCTGGCAAATGACTTTTACGAAAAACCTACAAAGCTATATGAACCGCCGAGTGGAAGTATTTCAGACTTTCAAGTATGGTTTACTACAGATGGAAGAAAGAGAATAATTCCATTATACCACGCGTTTTACTTAGAACTTAGTTTCATATACAACTACTATCGAACGGTAAAAATATAATTTTAATACGGTTGAGGTGTTGGATTTGGTTGCCAACTAGACTGTGGTGCAGGTTCAGGCTGTTGTATAACAGGAGCTTGTTCTTCTGGTTCAGGGTCTTTAGGTATAATACCAACGAACTGACCTACTCTTTTGCCAATATTTTTGACTCCGTTCCAAATTCCTCTTCCTACGGTTTTTATTCCATTCCATATACCTCTTCCAACATTTCGAAAGAAGTTTCCTATTCTTCCAAAGAAACCCATTTTACTATATGTAAAAATCTAATGTCCGCCTAGTCTCTTACGTTTCCTGTTGAGTTCCATAGCATTCTTTAACTGGAGCTCATACATTCTATTTCTCCTCTGGTAGAAAACATACTCTGGGTCAACTCCTGTGTTCGCGTCATCTGCATAGAGTTGTTTATATCCCACTTCAGGGTTTGTATAAAACTCTTTCCATCTCATATTTGCATACCATGGTGGTAAGCCTAACGCAGCGTCATTTGACATGGCAGTTTGCATTTGTACATCTGTTGGCACTTGACCATAGTTTGCCATTGCAGTTTGTATTCTAACTTCATTTGGAATATTCTCTGGGTTTGGTTGTCCAGGTTGCTGTGCATTCGCTAAGTTCTGTGCGTCCATTTAATATTAGATAAAAATATCTCTTACGAGTACATATACTGGACATTTGCAGGCATTGGTTCATCTTCATATTCTCTATATCTTTCTGCCACGTCAAATAAGTAAATGACACAATGGAAAAAACCTAAAACAAGTAGTCCTATTTCAAACCACATTTACTTACTAGTAAAATTTCTTTGTTATGACACTTTCTCCAGTTTATAGGACCTCTCTCATATTCTATCTTATCGTATCTAAACTCATAGTCATGTATGTCCTCTAACCATCTCATGACACTTTCCAAACCACTTTTATCGGATGTAAAGTAAAAGCATGGATGGTTATGTAAAACGTCTAAAGTTTCTAAAGAGTCTCTCAAAGTCCAGTCTACTTGGTATTGAAAATCCCATGTGTTATAGAACGGCGGGTCCACTATAAAGAAAATATTTTCCTTGTCTTTATATTTTTCATACAACTCTGTCCAATGACATCTCACAAACTCTATACCCTCAATATATTTTTCTATGTTCTCTTTGAAAACATTTGTATAGTTAAGATATAAAACTTTTGACATAAGTGTTTCAATGTCATGAACTCTTATAGCACCACTATATAATAGTCTAGCAGATATACTATCCCAGTCAATATACTCTGCCTTTTTCAAAACCTCTCTGACAGTATTTTTCTTATCTAATGGTATACGTTCCATCTTACCTATAGGTATCTTTTCTTTTAACTCTTTCAATATTTTGTTTGTGTCTGGTATATGTTTGAGACGGTTCATATAGTTGTCGAAGTCATTGCATATAATCTTTGAGTCAGGAAATATTGTATGGCACAAATGAGATATATAGAAACTTCCACCGAACAAGTCTACAAATGTTAGACCATTCGGTAGTTTCTTAAGTTCTCTCAATAGAATATCTTTACATCTACTCTTATTTCCAAAGAAGGGTAACGGTGGTTTTGTAAAATTCATTTATATATAATAATAAAAATGTTTTTCCCTGAAAAGTGACAGAAAAGTGACAAAACATGAAAACATATATAATTTGTGAAAAGCGACACATTATATAATGTTTTCGACCCAGAAGCAATGGAGGAGGAAATACAAGACTCTATCCAAGAAGAGTCCTCCGAATTCACACCAGAAGACTAACAATTTTCCGAATAAAAACTTCATTTATACTAAACATCTTCAGGGCTAGAGGGCACGAAGTGCCTGGAAGCCCCACTTCCTTTTTTTTTTTTTTTTTTTTTTTTTTTTTTTTTGGAGTGTAATGATATTGACTAAACAGAAATGAGAGAATAGAGATATAATTTTGATAAGCAATATTGCAAACAAATTCTGAAGTAAAATCGCGATCAATAATTGAAAATTACGATCATGTACTGAAAAATGACGATCGAATTGAATGAATAGAATTATATCTAAGAAAAAATAAATTGTATTTAGAAGATGAACAAAGAAAGGTGTATGCTAAAAATCATTTAACAATAAATGGAAATAAAACGAAATTGTGAAAAGAAAAAAATGAAAATTGTTAAATAATATATTATTTTTTAGTCATAAGAATAAAAATATAGTAGTTATAAAAGGAATTAGACTTCATATATCAATTCTTTTTCTCTGTAGATGTGGAACGTTTGCTTTTCGATCTCTTTCGATGAACTTGAAAATATAAGTTATTATCGCTGAGAATCCTTTCCGAAATAGGAGCTTTACGTTTAGGAGGATTGTCGGATGAATTTTGTTTTTTATTGTTTGATTTTGTTGTTATGGAAGATTTTTTCTTATTTTTTTCAGAATTTTGCTTGCTATTAACTGAAACTTGTTTTGACGGCCCAACAATAGCATTTGTAGTAGGAAGAATTCCCAATAACGAGCGCATTTTCGATAATTGTTTTTCAAGGATTCTATTTTTTATCACAATATTAATCTTGAAAAATTCAGTAATTTAACTGAAACAGAACAACAAACAATTTTAAATTCCTACAAAGCGGATAAATTTACATATTACATAATGTGCTCACAAATTGTAAAATCAAACTGGAACAATTTATCCCAAACTTTAGTTAATATTGCAAATCAATATTTGCCATTTTTAGATGAAGAAAAGCAAATATATATATTTACTGAAATAACTGGCAATTATCAAAATTTTGAAATTTCAGTTGCAAACTTGTTACTTTTTTATGAAAACAATGAAGAAAAATTAAGCAACTGTTTTAATTTAACATTGTTCCAGCAAATTTATTCCAAAAATGGAATCGAGCAAATGATATTTTTTGCTGCAAATACAATTTGTTGCAATAACACTTCTATCAATTTTTACAATCTCCTTGAAATTGAAGAAATGAATCCATTTGATTTTTTTTATTTCTCAATTCAATATAAAGAGATATTAAATTGCGATGATTTTCCAAAAGTTACAGAAGTAATCACAGGTTTAATCTCAGCTTCAAATATTAATGCTATTATGCGAATTTGCCAAAAAATTTTGGATAAAATTACATTTTATAAATGTAATTATTGCCATATTACCTCAATATGGAATTTTATCACAAATGCAGCAATAATTCTTCCTGATGAAGATTTATTAATCAAATTATTAAAATTCATAGAAAAAACAGAAAAAGCAACAGATGAATTATTCGAACCGGAGAATGATTTGGGTTTCTATGAATATTTAAATTCGATTTTCTCAGATATTACATCTGCGAGAAATAAGCAATTTCTCTTGGAATTTCTAAATACCCATGAAGATGACTTCACTTATGATCAAACATTGTGAGGTCATTTTTGATCAACAAATTAATTGAAATTCCGATCAAAAAAAAATTCACAAATTGGATCAAAAAAATCGAATCTCAAGTTCAAAATAAAAAATTTCTACATTTTTATCAAATTTAGATTTTTTTTTTCAAATCATGCGAATTGATTGAATAATTGCATATTTTATCCCATGCATCTAGAAGTATGTGTAATATTTTTGCTTTCATCAAGAAATTGTCGAATTTGATCTTAATTTTTTTTGAAAAATATACTTTTAGAAAAAGAAATAGTGATTGAATAGCTGCCCATGCTGTAAAAAGGTTATTTTTACAAGTAAAAAAAATTGTTATTTTTCGAGCAAGTCGAGGCTTTTTTACCATCTTATTTTTGAAAAATTTACGAAAAATTATATCTGAAAAAACGCTTCATTTTGATATCTTACAATGATAAAATACCAATGTTGCTGGGATATAATAGCTACACCTGGACATCTACTACATTAATGCGTATGACAGGTAAAGTTGATTTCAAAAGTATAGCCTGGAAAGATTACAATAAATCAACGATAATTCAAAAAATTTTCTTATAAGTTAACATAATAAAAATTTAATTTTTATATTTCTTGTAGTATACTTAAGTATATAATATATTTAAATCTTAGAATGAAAATTCGGGACGCCCTAGCTATTCAATTTTCCCTTAGGACGCCCATAAACCTCTCAAAAATGTGATGTAAATATCACAATTTTGAGAAATTTACACTAGGACGCCTTAGGACGCCAACCCCCTTTTTTACCAATTTTAAATCGACAATTCCAATTTTTTTTAATTCAAGCTAAAATTGAGACAAAAAAGTGTATCAGTTTACTTAATTTTTACTTCGAGGATCGCGAAATCCATTTATCAATAGATTAAATATCCTTAGGAAGTGCCACGGACAAATGTTTTCTAAGCCAGTTAGCGTTTTAATTCGAAGGAGTCATTATTTTGATTTTCCCAGCTTCACGCCGATAGTGGTTGAAATTTTTTTTGCGGATAAATTTTCAATGAATTCTCAATTCTCCCACCCTGTTATGGAGTGGGTTGACTCAAACTTAATCCACGAAATTGCACTTGAAGACCAGAAAACTGAGTCTTCCGTGCAACAAATTACAGAAATTTTAAAAAATCCTTCTTCGGTCACCCCTCGAACACTTTCTGAACAGCAAAAATCCTCAATAATGACAATGATGAACACAATGTGCCAACAAGCCACCAAAGTTTTGGAAGAAACATCTGAAGAAACAGAAAATTCTTTGAAACATTCACCGACTGATGAAGAATTATTTAATATGGAGAAATTCCCTCCACCATTAACGCTCAAATTCAGAAAATCTCACGATGAATTAATAGAAAATGAAAAATTCAATCAAAATAGAGTGGAAAAGCTGAAACAAAAAACAACAACCATAAACAAAACAGAGTCTGAAGAGATCAAAGCCCAAGGAAATGTAATTTATAAGTCAGGAGACTTTGGCGGAGCTATTGCAAAATATAATTCTGCAATTTTCCATAATCCATTGAACCATATTAATCACTCAAACAGAGCATCAGCATATCTGGCTACAGAGCATCCAAGTATGGCAATTTCCGATTGCCAGTGGACTTTGGAATTAAATAGTGATTTCGTGAAAGCTTATGTTCGCATGGGAAAGGCATACATGGACTCTGGCAAGATATTTAAAGCTTTAGACTACTACGATATCGCTATCAATAAAGATCCTCAATATGAAGAGGCACTTCTCGCAAGAGAAGAAGCTATTGATGAGATGAACAGAATGACACCCAACAATACAGATAATATACTGGCAAGGCGCTTCTTTGGAGTTGAATATGAAATTCCTGATTACGACAAAAAATTACTCCAAAACCTTATCGATTTTAGCATTCTTTCATACAATTGATATAGTTTTTATGTGTCTTACTTTAGAAAAGAAAATAATTAATTATATCTTTCATTTTAAAATCATTTCCATGATATTTATATTAAGAAATTGTATTGTATCCAAAACACACAACTGATAACTTTTTTTTTCTCAAATAGAATTATTTTTTCAAAAATATCTATTTTCAAATTGTTAAATCCTAATTTTAGTTGTGTTTAGCTACAATTCTATTCAAAGCATTCAAACAAATGAAAGATAAGTTATATCAAATTCATTAATGATGAAATTCAATGAATTCATAACTATCTTATGAATGGTTCAAACATAAAAACATCACAAATGACTAAGATATTGACAATTGACTAGAAATATGTTATTTTTGAAAAATAATAAACAATATTCTTTTACAAAATTGCTAACCAAATGACATGATCCATCTAGAATGCAAATATTAAGTTCATTTATTTCATTTTAAGAAGTCAAATTATCAGATATTAAGTTAATAAAGAATGAAATGATATAATTCAAGAAATGAAAGAAGTCCAAAGGGAGAAATTATAGAGTTCTTGACAAAGTATCTTCCATTTATATCTCAATCCTTGTATCTCCTCAGAAAGCCGAATACCAACGAAAACAGAAAAATGCAAACTTCAGAAAATTCTGCGGTTTTGATACGTTACAAGCAGTAATGTCGCGTCCAGGCAGGTCTCTCGGCCTCCAGTTCCTTATGGAACGTAGGGCTCGTGAAGAAGCAAACAGATTCTATAACGAGGCTGCTGCCGAAGATAATTTAACAAGGCAGCGCGCACAATTTGAACAACGTACATTAAATCGTTATCAAGGCGGAGAGCTCAGACGAAGAGCGCAAGAACGTGTCAAGAAATACCAGGATGAACTCGAGGAGCGTCGTAATAAACTTGCACAACTTCTCGAAAATGAAGAAAACCAATATTCAGTTGAAATTCAAAATACAGTAGAAACTCCAGCTAAACGTCGTGACCGCCTTAAACAACAACTTACAGCATTAAGAACTCGTCGCCAAGAGGAACATGATAAATACGTTGCTGAAAAGAACGAACAAGGATGGCGTGATTCATGCGATCCTCTCCGTCACCAGGTTTCTGAAGCACTTCAGCGCCAGGTAATTAAGGAGAGAGATCAACAAGTTATTGAAAAGGAGCTTGAGCGCCAGAAAGGCGACCAGGCTGAAGAGCAATACGCTGCTACAGTTAAGGAGAACGTAGCTAAATGGAAAGAAGAGCAGGCTAACGCTAAGGACGATCATCGCCAAAAGTTAATGCAGAACAGAGAGACATGGTTAGCCCAAATGAACGAGAAATCACAATTAGTCAAAACGCAGAAAGAACAGGAATACAAAGAAAGCTTGGAATTCAGAACTACAGTCGAAAGTCAAATTAAGGCTGCTAAAGAGGCTGCCGAGAAGAAAGCCCAACAGCAGGCCGAACGTCGCCAGGAACTTGATAAGCTTAACTCCGAACAGATCGCTACTCGCCGTAAAATTATCGAAGACGATAAAGCACTTGATGCCAAATACGCTGCTCAAGCTGCTGAAGAGCTTCGTCAACAGGAAGAAGATGAGCTCGTCGAGCGCATCGTTAGAAACCGCAAAGCAGAGATGAACAGAAAATTATTCGAGACTCAATTGAACAAGAAGGCCGCAGAAGATAACCGTTCCGAAATGTTCTTACAGCGCGCTCAACAGGAAGCTAACGATCGCGATGACGAACTCCGCCGCAAAGATGCTGAAGCCCGTAGAAAACTTATGCTCGATGCCGTTGACGATCGCATTAAGACAATACAGCTCCACGAGAACGAGAAGATCAAGCAACGCCAGGAGAAGCTTGCTGAGACTAAGCGCCTTGAAGAGGAGCTCGAGTTCGAGAAACAGATCGAACAGGAAGAGAAGGAACAGAGACTTCTCAGAATCAAGAACCAATACGAGATGTTACAGGCACAGAGCAGAATGAAAGCAGAAAGAGAGGCTAAGGAAAAGGCTGAAGATGCGGCACGTGTAAAGGCAATGGTAGATGGATGGGCTGCTGAAGAAGAAAGAATTAAGAAGGAACTGGCAAATCCAAACTTGTTCGTTGGAAATAGATTCCGTGGAAATCGTTAACTTTTTATTTATATTTTTATTTATATAATTTTTTGTCTTGAAAAAAAGATATTTTTTTATTTGCTAAAACTCACATCCAGCTTTTTTTGTTTTCAAATTTATCCCTCACCTTTTTTTAAATTCTAGAGCTGTTTGAGACTTCAAAACTCTGCATTTTCACATTGAAAGTCTCAAATTTTGAGACTCAAAATTTTACACATCATTTCCATTTAACCTAAACCAAAAATGCTTTCAAGGGCACACTTACCCCCGTATGACATTCAATATAGTTTCATGCAGATTGTCAGAAATTTGAATTAAAGTCAGGTGGGTGTAAGTGCACTTTTAAAATATACAATGGAAAAAAAGAATTCTCATCACCAATTTCAAGATTTTCCAGTAAATGAAATAATAAGATGCTAAAGTGTTATATAAAAATATGTGCCCATAGGCAAGAATTGAAATATATCAATCAGAAGAGTAGCAAAATAAGTATATGTATTTGAGGCGAAAACGATAAATTTTATTATAACTTTACAAATTGGAAATTTTATTCTAACTTTACAATTCATGATATTTCTCTTTATTAATCTACTAATAGATGAAGACAAAGCATTCAAACGTTATAATACACTTATGAATAAGTACAAGGAATACATTGATACATGGAATCTAATATACAATTTAAATTCAGATGAAATAAACTCAACAACAGGATTATACAACGAAATCAAAGATAACTTGATAGATGCTGGATATTTTACACCACAAGAGATGATTCATTCGATGAGAAAAGTTGGGCTTCATAGATTAAAATATCGTCATGCATACCTAGAGTTAATGAAAAGAATATATGAAGAATATCATTGTGATAACGATTTTGACATCAGATCTCTTTCGGAAGCAGATACTGCTAATCCAATTAATGAAATTCTATTAAATGATGATCAGAAAAAATTATATAATTTTTTAAGACTGGGAAATCACAATCTCAATGAAATACTTCAATTTTGTTGCGAACAAGGCGCAGTTAATTGTTTCTGGGCACTAATAAATACAAACAAAGTGCAGATCACAAAAGAATGCCTTGATTCTTCATTTCTAGGAAACAATAAAGAAATTATCAAAGAATGTTTGAGAGCACAAAAACCCGATTCATCTACAATGGAAAATGCAATTGCATCTCATAATATGGATAATGTTATGAAATTGATAAATAAATACCAATTAAAAATTCCTCTAGATAAATGCGCTGATCACAAAAATCTTCAAGTATTTCTTGAATATTTAAAACAAACTAATGATATCAACGGATGTTTTGTATATTCTCCTGCTTTTCATATTCAGTCTCTTTGTGAATATTTTCTTTCAAAAGATGCAGATATTAATTATGTGCATCAAAATGGTGACACAGCGCTTTCTGTTGCAGCTAAAGAAAAACATAATGATATTGCAAAATATCTGATTATGAAAGGAAGTGATATTGATCAAAAGATATTTCCGTCTGGATCTGCATTTAATATTGCGGTGAATCCAAACAACACTGAATTGGTGGAGTTGCTCAATTCACATGAGGCCATTATCGATCAAATAGGAGATATTACCCACTTAACATCACTTCATATTGCAACCATAAATAATAATAAAAAAGTTGTAGAAATTCTAATTTCACGTGGTTCAAAAATAAATACCAAAGCAACTAAACATGGATTTACTCCTCTATATTTAGCATTACTATTTAATCATAAAGAAATTGCTCAATTACTTATTTCACATGGTGCAAAAATCAACACAACAGACTTTGATGGAAATAATGCTATTATTTATGCATTAATGCATAATTCTAGAAAAGTTAAGGAACCATTACTTAAGCAATTGGATATAATTTGTAATTTCCCTGATGATTATAAAAATTCTTTAATTTTAGGAAGTAACAATAATGATATGATTGAATTTCTGATTTCAAATGGTGCAAAAGTCAATAGGAAAAATTTTTATGGAAATAGACCTCTTCATATAGCAGCATTATTATCTAATAAAGAAGGCGCCGAAATATTAATTTCTCATGGTGCTGAAATAAATTCTTTAAATAAAAATGGTCAGACTCCTCTTGATATTGCTGTTATGCTTAACAAGAAAACACATGAAGATATTCTCAAAAATAATAAAATTGAAATGAATATTGTTCGCGAAAATAACATTGATTTTCTTGATTCTTTGATCGAAGATTCCGAAATGGAAGCTCTATTAAAATCACATGGGGAAAAACTAATCCAAACAGCAAATTAACTGGCGATGATGATATTTTGTTTGATTATATCTGGAAACCCCATAGTGACATCGATATAATATCTATAATATTGATGGCATCTTTCTTCTTTTTATTGAAATTTATAAAAAGAAAAATAACTCACCAACGCATTTCAAATTGTATCCAAACATTAATATATGCAATTTCTGGAATCATTTGCATTAATATAGTTTTCTTATTAATTGCTCTCTGGTATGAACTAAACGGTTATGTATTCCAGTTGTTAATGGAAAAATATCAATGATGCTTCAACCACAGTTATCAAAAAATTGACGCTGTCAAGAAATAGTTAAACATCTTCTTTTACATGATTTAGAGTAAGACCTTGAGATATTAATGATAAATAATTTTGACAGTTCATGGAAAATGTTTACGTTTTTAAAAGATAAATTGCCATTCAAATGCTTTTCCTTTGCTATCTATTTATATGTATTATTCAATATATGAATAGGTATATGATCTAAGTCAATGTCTTGGTCCCAGAATCTCCACAGAAGGCCATCTATTGAAGAAGCTTTTAAAGAGTTTTCTTCTCATAAAATTCAATTTCCACTTACAGATCAAGCGAAAATTGCAGAATCTGAAATAAGAATTTCAATAATTTCTTCATGATTTTTATGATCTGCATAATCAAAAGCGGTTTCTCCATATTTTTCATTTTCATTGATTTTTATACCAAGTGAAATAAGAAGTTGAACAGTATCTTTGGTATTGCTTTCTGCTGCATAACGAAGGGCTGTTTCTTCATTACGAATTTTTCATTTACATTTTAATCAATTGCAAGGAAATATCTACAATGAGATCGAATACCAAACAGTGCTGAATAAACAAAACATTTGATAATATCATTTATTTCAAGTATTACTTTGTATAACGATTGTTATACATAATAACATTTAAAATATCCTTGATAACAATTTTTTGGAGACATCTCTTTGAATCAATCAATTCTGTTTTGATCATTTTGTAAATCGAGTTTAAATCTTCGTCTTTTCCGATTTTGAGCTGATACAATGCGATATAAGGGTTGATATGGAATTTAAAGATATCTCTTAGTTCACTGTATTTGCTTCGATTAAAAATCAGCAATATTTATTTTTGACAAATAAAATATCTTTGTAATTCATTAGGCTTTTTTGGGGTTGGCATCACGATGTAAACTTCTCAATATTGAATGATTTACGTCGTGACTCCACCGTATTTTAAATTTTTGAAAGGGCTTTGGCGTCACTATAGGAAGTAATATAAACTATAGAATTTGTTTTGATTACCAATAGAAAATACAATTAATTAGACCTATTTATAAATAGCAGTGAATTTATAAATATACCCCCTTATTTGGAATTTCCAATTAATTGGAAAAACCGTCGTAATTCGAAAAACCGCCCGATTGGAAAAACCGTCGCAATTGGAAATATTGAGAGATTGGAACTTCCAATCTCTCAATTGGAAAATCCAAATAAGTTTTGATTGAAAATTAAAATATTTTGTTGTTATTCATGTTGAAAACAAACATGACATAATACTCTTTGTCAGAATGTATTGAATAATGTTTAGTGATCTGTAGTGTGGAGCTATAAACTTATAACAATTCTTGATTGAAATTAATCTCAAAAATTTTTTGAATAATAAATAGCATTAAGCTTATACCTCTCGCGTTTTTACTCAAATTTCTTAGGTGCATCACGCATGTTATCAGAAATTTCAATTAAAGTTAAATGGGCGAAAGTGCATCTATAATATACCTAATGGAAAATATTCAATAAGTTTAATGATAATACAAGATTAAATGAATATTAGTAAATAGAAATATATGTAATTTTGATTCAGACATTGTAAATAATTAATATTTGATGGGCAATCATGCCATTTGCACTCTGAAACTATGAAAAGGAATTTTTTAATGTCCAAAATAGGTGTAAGGCTATAGCCATTATATGAGCTATCACTTTGGCAATTAGTGAATATAATTTTACCTCCACCTTGAAGTAATGTGGGAGCCGAATAAAAGAAAATACAATTTTCAAATGTTAAAATTGCAGAAGAAGGAGTTACATAAAACATCTCACTCCGAGTTTTATTTATAAAATTACTTTTGGAAAAAGTACCAACAGTATTCCATAATTCAGCATAATTATTAGAAGTAAGCATGCCTTCATAATGAATATATGATATCGAAGATCCAGATATTACGCTGAAAACACCTATACTCCCAGAGCCACAAATATCAAAATTGTTTGTTGCATTCAAATATTTTAAATCGACATATTTATTAATGAAAACACAAGGAGAATCACCACATTTTTCAATATCAGGCCCACATTTGTACACTGAGCTCATTTTTACATCGCTTATGCTATCGATTATATAAAAGCAATTACCATATTGTGCATTATAGTTTTCTCGAACGAAACATGAATCAAATTTTATATTTGAGATATTGCTCAAGGAATTTTTAATTATCATCGCTCCGCCATTTGCATGGGCCTGACATTGAAAAAATAAGCAACAAAAGATTTTAGTTTGGGTGTTTTCAAGTGCTAGAGCACCTCCATTACCTGGAGCAGAAATGTTAATGAATGATGAGTCTAATATCGAAGTTATATGTACGTCGGCTACCAATCATCCTCCCAACCTTAAGGGTCCACGGTCTGGCCAAGCGATGACTATCGTTCAATTTCAGAATTTATATGGCAAGACCAATATCTAATTGTAGATTCTGATTTTACATAATATTTATATACTGCCTTTAAGATATTTGGATTCCATTAACCAATAAGCTCTAATTCTCATCCCTGCATTCAAATTTTGAATGGATTTGAAAATGTACCATTAACCTTTAAAATAGAGATATTATGCTGCATACAATTTAAAAAAAAACTTAAAATTCCAGAGAATTATTCCGCATTTTTCGTCTAAAGCAAACTCCTTTTCCTAGGTTTCGCGTCTATTCAAAATTTTATCGTCGAATTTTAATGGAACCATCGGGGACAACGGTCGAAGAAAATTTAAATTACGACCGATCGGGATCAAAAATGGATTTCGAGTCAGATAACTATTAACCGGAAATTGCAGAATCTGAAATAAGAATTTCAATAATTTCTTCATGATTTTTATGATCTGCATAATCAAAAGCGGTTTCTCCATATTTTTCATTTTCATTGATTTTTATACCAAGTGAAATAAGAAGTTGAACAGTATCTTTGGTATTGCTTTCTGCTGCATAACGAAGGGCTGTTTCTTCATTACGAATTTTTCATTTACATTTTAATCAATTGCAAGGAAATATCTACAATGAGATCGAATACCAAACAGTGCTGAATAAACAAAACATTTGATAATATCATTTATTTCAAGTATTACTTTGTATAACGATTGTTATACATAATAACATTTAAAATATCCTTGATAACAATTTTTTGGAGACATCTCTTTGAATCAATCAATTCTGTTTTGATCATTTTGTAAATCGAGTTTAAATCTTTGTTATTTCCGGTTTTGAAAAGAAAGACTAAAGGATTAGTTGAAAGATTTCGAGGATAAAAATTTCAGTACTTCTAAGCTAGTTATTCTGTTTTTGGGATATTTTTCAGTATATACATTTATTTTGATCGGGATTTAAATTCTTGATAGAAACTGAAGGCCAACGTTTTTTAAATTTAATGCGTGAATAATACTTTCCTCCGATCTGTTCATATCAAGAAATCATTTATAATATTATTCGCTTTACACCATATAAGTTTGACATGTATCCTTCACAATATGGACCATATTTCAAATGATAATTCCTGAACAATTTGACTAAAATTTTGGAAAAATAATGCTCAATTTGTATTTCGAGAAAATATATGATTAAAATCAAACTTTGTACAAATACCAAATATCGATGATCAAAGTCAATGCTTGGCAAAGCAATTCAAAAGTTGTCTCCTATAATACCAAGAAAGATTCGAAGTTGCTTTTACTTATTGAAGAGAATTCTTTTGATATTTGTCTTATATTTTTTAAAAAACCTATGAAATTATAATATTACTTACTTTTTTTTAAAAGATATTGTCATTGAATATCAGTAAATTATCGTTGTAATAAATAAATAAATAAATGAAATATTTACTTATTCATCGAAAGTTATGTCAGTATCTTCATTTTCAGAAGTTTTCTTGTTATTTCTCATCATTATCTTGGAATTAGCAGTTTTTTTAATGGAAAGACCGGAAGACGAGGAATTTCAGTGCTTTTCTTCGGTGGTTTTGCTCCAGTAATATAGAGATGTAAATCAAACTATAATATCATCAATTGTAAAAATTTTTCTGGTTTTGATTGCTTCTATGTAAAATATATGTTCTTTATTAAAAATATATTTATGTCAAGAAATATTTATCTATGTTTAGGTAATATTACATACAAATTATATTTTTGTGATTCAATTTTTGAAATTTTCATAAAATTCAAATCAAATCATCTGATGGATAGAAAGTAAATATACTCTATTCGTTAAATCTATTGAAATTTCTGTTGAAAGGAGCATTTGGATCATCATAAAATTCATGATCATCTTGTTGCGCTATTAAATAGGCAGGATAGTAATCAGGGTTCTGCTTGAACAAATACCCTGTATCAAAATTTGGTGTTGGAAGGAACCACAAAATAATATTTGATCCAAATCTGCAGGCAATGTTTTCAGCGAGATTTCCTGCATAGAAACGATTATAAAATATCATATGATGCTTGTTATATATCTTTTAAAGTTTAATATTTTGCATAACTTCAACATGCGTTGTATTATTCAATAAAAGAGGTATTTGACCAATTAATTGCATTAAAATGAAAAATCCAGTAATAAGATAGAATGCAATGAATCCTATGAATGCCAATATCAATTTTCCGGAATTTTTAACAGTAAAAAGCTGATATCCAATTAAAGATAAAGATAAAACTGCATTAAAAAGCCATATTACTAAGAATGAAAAGAAACATT